AAGTGGCTTCTTTTGAGGTACTAAGCTTTTTCCTCAACTCACCTTCTGTATTTGTTCTTGATTTTTCGCTTTAATTCTGACCCGTCAAAATCCTTTTTTTGCTTCTGCTTGGTTTTACGCAGAAGAGTTTGATTTTGCTTGCCAGAGAAAGGGGCTTCGGCCCTTTCTTTCTTTTTCGTTCCTTTTAGCTAGCGTAGTGCTTTTGCCCTATTTAATCTTATTTATAATAAATTTTTTTTTGGTAAATTACGTAAGTACCCTCTTCCTTTTAATGAGTATTACAATGCATAAGTATGAATGTGCACGACATCACCCTTCGTACTTTATTACTCTTTCCTCACCCAAATAGTGACAACAACAACATCCCGGCAAGAGAATCAACAGTAGAAATAATTACGTCCCGGCAAGGGAATCAGCTATGACCAATCTTGTTCCAACAATTAACTTCACAAAATGAACCTCAACTGGAGCCAATACTCAACAATGAACAATTATCAAGAAAATGATCATAAGTCTTTTTAACATGGATAATCATCAATTTAGACATTGGTGGTACTTAATAAGAATCACAACGATCATAATATAGGACTAACGGGCATGCTTGACACCAACGTATAGATACTCATCACCATACCTATATGTCGTAACACTAGCACATAGCAAATAAGTCATAACTCTTATTCCCTCAAGCTAAAGTTATACCAAACACTTACCTCGATTCCACGGACAAAATCAAGCCTCAATTACTACTTTACCTCTCGGTTCCACCTCTAATCCGCTTGTATCTAGTCATAAATTACTTAATAACATCAATATAGGCTAGATAAACCAATTCTAATGCATGAATATAGATTTCCCAAAAAGTCAAAAATTGACCTCGGGCCCGCTTGGTCCAAACCCGAAATTCGGACCAAAACCCGATTACCCATTCACCCCCGAGCCCGGGTATACAATTGGTTTTGGAATCCGACCTCAATTTGAGGTCTAAATCCCCAAATTTTGATATCCCTAAGTTCTACCCAAAATTCCCAATTCCACCATGAAAACCCTAGATTCTAAGATGAAATCTTGTAATAATAAGTTAAGGAGTGAAAAAAAATGAGTTTAAAATCACTTACATATGATTTAGGGAAGAAAGGGTATTTGAAAAATCGCCTCTTATGCTTTAGGGTTTTAAAAAAATGAAAATGAATGAAAAGTGTCGATTATATAGCCCTCACAGATCCTTAGAATGCTGACCGCGAAAAAAGAACCGCGGCCGCAAAGCTCACCGCTGACCGCGAAAACCCTAGCCTTGCCCATCGCTGACCACAAAAACCCCACCGCGGCAGTAAAAATTCATCGCGGACCGTGAGACTCCGGTTCAGAGACCTGCAATACACCAGCAGTTGTTCCTAAGTTCAAAACACTCTATGGCCTATTCAAAACTCATCCGAGCCCTCGGGGCTCCAAACCAAACATGCACGCAGGTCCAAAAATATCATACTGACTTGCTTGTGCGATCAAATCATCAAATTAATATCAACAACTATGAATTTAGCCCCAAAATCAATGAGATTCTCAAGAACACCTAAAGTTACTATTTTCACAACCGAGGGTCTGATTCATAGCAAATCAAGTCCGTTTCCTACCAAATTTCACAGATTGGACTTAAACATTATTTTAGACCAGTACCGGGATCCGGAACCAACATTCGGGCCTGATACCATCATATTCAAAAATTATTTAATTTCCAAACTTCTTATATTTTTCAGTTAAATAATTTTCTTCAAAAATTCATTTCTCGGGCTAGGGACCTCGGAATTCAATTTCGGACATACGTCCAAGTCCTATATTTTTCCACGGACCCTCCGGGACTGTCAAATCATGGGTCCGAGTCCGTTTACCCAAAATATTGACCGAAGTCAACTTAAATCCAAATTTAAAGGCAAAATTGGTAAAATTCTCAAATTTTTCACATAAGGGCTTTCCGGAAGCCCAGACTGTGCACACAAATCGAGGAGAAGGGAAATGAGGTCTTGAAGGCCTCGGAACCCCGGATTGGGTTCTAAAACACGAGATGACCTTTTGGGTCATCACAGATAATTAATTAAAGATACAATTAATTAATAGCTTTAATTATAAGAATTTTTCTAAACTATTGTTTACTTTTACTTACTTAATAAAATACTCCACTACTTGAAAAGGTAAGGGCACATTTTAAAAAAAAAAGCGATTAAATGACATTTTGTTTTTTTCTAAAACGTCAAATAGTTTGGAACAAATTTAGTTTGTCAACAACCACTACAATATTTTTGGATCAGATATACTTCTCCACAAAGAAAAATAATAGGAGTAACAAAATGCACTATACCTTGTTACAGGTAACAATTAATATCAATTACTCCTATTAGTTAAAATTAATGGAGAGGAAAAAAATAAAAAGAACGTTGAAACTAGCCGTCTCCCTTATTTGGGACTAAAGCTTAAATTGTTGTATTTAAGTCTACTATATAAACACATTCGTATAATTGTTTGTTTTCCCTTCTTTTTTTTTAATTCCCCCCTTTTCTTTGTCTGGTTCTTGATTGAATGAAATGAGTACGTCACTAGTCATGACTGATTAAATACAAGAACAGAAAATAAGGTTCCTCAGGAAAAAATAAAAATAAAATAGAAGGAAAGAAGACAGCCAATGAATATAAAAGAAAGCGGCCAATGAATAGTCAAATGTATATACGAAGTCATAGCTCCCCGTGATATTGCAAAATGCAATAATTTAAGTTTATCGATATAGTCGTTACAGACTCAAATAGTTGTTCCATGCCAATAATGGCATGCTTTTTCATGCATTATTAGTAGCGAGGAAGAAAATTACATATTTTGATACGCGTAGTTGTTTAATTTCTTGTTTTAAAATACTCATGGTAGTAGTCTAACAAATTATTCAATGACCGAGTGGAATCTAGCTTTTCACGTATCACAAAAGCCAATTGTCATTATTTTGAAAATCTATATATACCATCGTTATGACATATGACCACCATCGCCATTAAAGGTAGCTCGGTGTACAACACATCTCATATTCACACAGAATTCGGGATAAACTGCACTCAAAACAATATAATGTAATTAGCTTACTCTGTTAAACGCGTGACCTATATCACGAGATATAGTACCAAGTATTAATCCTTAATCCTTTGCTAATATTTTTTTCCAAAGTTGAGAAAGAAATTCTTTATCAAGATATTTAAATATATCATGCCTTAAACCAAAATTAGAAAAATTACCATCAAGGGTCCAAGTGTAATATTCAGGGTTCACGTGAACCCTATAACTTTGTCTAAATCTTATTTTTGTATTACTTTTTTTTTAAATGTATAAGAATATTTAACTCGAAATTCAGTCCATTGACCTATTATTATTGTATTTGAATTTGAGATTGCAGTAGGAATCTATAAACTTTCAATTTTGAATCTTTCTCTGTGTTCGTACTTTTGCCTAGTGTCTTAAAGTAAATTAAATTATGTTCGACATAGATTCAAAAATAGGTCAAATTAACTTCTAAGCAGTAAAATGGGACAAAATTCTGAAATGAAGGAGTGAATAACATTAGAATCATTCTTTAAACTAAACAAAATGATTTTTTTATATGCATGTTTATGCAAATTAAAGATAATTTATCAAAGTTTTCAAGGCTTTCTGAAATGGCTATTTTCTCTCTTGGTGCACGTTAGCTTAACCTGCGCCTACATGGGTAAGAGAGCTCGTATCCCGTCTCAGAAAGCACTAATAGCGAAGGAAGCAGCGGATTCTCAGAGTAACGCTCAAAGAGGGACTAAAGGAAGGACATTAACAACTGAAAATTCTGGAAACAAGCAATTGAGCCCTAATGTCAATGGAACAGTACCAAAAACTTCGGAAAATGAGAAACTTAAGCAGATTGAAGCAATTCAAGTATGAGATAAAGTCCAACAAGCGTCAACAAGTAGTAATCCACCGGTGCATGTGAATGATGGAAGGAAATCATGGGCCGATGAGGTCGAAGAGATGAACAAAGAGCAGGGGAAGAAGAGTTCAGTGTGGGACAATTTTGATATCACAAAAATATCAAATGCTGGGTACAAATTAGAGATTGTCCAACCAAAATCAACAGGTGAGTCTAATTTTGTTGAAATTGAGTTGGAGGATATTAGTACAGAGATTGAGTACTGGAAAAATGTTGTGATCTGTTATGTGCTTGGGGCTCATCCGCCGTTTGCTGTAATTCAAGGCTACATACAGAGGTTGTGGGGTAAACATGGCATAGATAGGACTGCAATGTTAAAAAAATGAGGTAATCGTTGTTCGATTTGACACTGCAATAGGAAAACAGGAGGTCATTAAGGGCGACATCTATCACTTTGATAACAAACCTCTCATTGTCAAAGCCTGGACACCTGAATTGGAGTTCACTTGTGAGGAGCTATTAACAATACCAATTTGGATTAAATTGCCAGGATTGGACTTCAAATATTAGAGTCCAAAAGGGCTAAGTAAGATAGGGAGTCTGATTGGTAAACCTCTAATGGTTGACCAAAACACAGAAAAGAGGATTGAGTTGAATTTTGCTAGACTGTTAGTAGAGGTTGAAATGGATGCTAAACTACCTGATGTGGTGATGTTTAGGAATGAGAAGGGAAAGCTAATAGAGCAAAGAGTTAACTATGATTGGAAGCCAACTCTTTGTACCCATTGCTTAATGTATGGGCGTGAATAAGTAGTATGCAGGCTCAAGAAGAAAGCTCCAAAGAATGATCAGAAGATCAATGAACAGACAACAAACATTTAGGTGGAGAAGCAAGGTCAAGTGCAAAGTGAGAAGATCCATGAAGCCCAAAAAACAAATGCAAATGCCATAAGGATTACTGCAGGAAAATGAGCTCTAGGAAAAATGCAACAATATGTAGCTAAGGAACAGGGTAATAAAGGACAGAAATATAGAACAAGGTTGGAAAACACCTAATAAATATGGAAATACAATGGTAAGACAGAAGGAACAAGTGGAGAAATCCAATTCATTCCAGATTCTGAATAATCAGGAGGGTCTCAATCTGTCAAAGGAGGGGGGAGAAGGAAGCAGTGTGGGTGGCCTAATTATCCCTCACAATGGGGATAGTTAGTCTACTAAGCTGGAACACTAGGGGGATTAATGCTCCTAATAAGTAAAAGGAGATTAAGCTCCTTTGCATAAGGAAAGAGTAGGTTTAATAGGCTTACTGGAAACAAAAATTAAAAAAGAAAGGATGGAGCAGGTAGTAGAGAAGATGTTTGCTGGATGGAAGTTTGTAACAAATCTTGACTGTCATTACAATGGGAGAATCTGGATCACCTGGAGGCCAGACTACTACCAGATAATACCTAGGCAAAGGACTGCTCAACTAGTAACTTGTGAAGTCCTATATGTTCCTCTTCAACAATCATTTGAGGCAACCTATGTATATGCTTTTAATACAAAAGAGGAGAGAAAGGGATTTATGGGAAGATTTAGTCACTCACAGTAGATGATGTAGTAAACCATGGATGGTAATAGGTGATTTTAATTCAGTTCTGAATGCAGAGGATAGAATATGAGGAAATGAAGTGACATGGGCTGAAGTGGTAGATTTCTATAATTGTGTAGTGGAGTGTGGATTGATGGAACTACCTGCACAAGGAAATAAATATACTTGGAATGATAAACATGAAGAACACAGAATATTTTCAAAAAATTGATTGGATCTGAATTAATGAGAAGTGGTTTGATACCATGCCAGAATGCAATGCAAGATTTTTGATAGAAGGAATTAGTGATCATTGTCCTGCAAAGATGACTTTTACAGAGGAAAGGCAGAGGAGTAGGAGATCCTTTCAATTATGTAATGTGTGGACACAACATCCACAATTCATGAGTATAGTCAAAGAGGGTTGGAACTATAATGTGAAAGGATGCAAAATGTTTACAGCTGTTAAAAGACTGAAGATGTTAAAGAGGGGATTGAAAACTCTAAACACACAGGCTTTTCATAACATAGTGACTGAAGCAAATGAGGATAGGAACACATTGAAACCGATCCAAGTTCAGCTGCAGAGATGTCCTACTAATGTGGAATATCAACAAGCTGAAATTAGTGTTTACCAAAAGTTCAGGCAGTCATCTTATCTAGCTGAAGTGTACTTACAACAAAGAAGTAAAGCAACACGGATAAGATTGGGAGATGATAATAATAAATACTTCCATTCAATAATCAAGCACAGAAAACTGAAGCAGGCAATTACTCAGCTCAAGGACAACTCTGGTCTTTGGCAAACAGATCCTGATACAATAGATGGTATATTTGTTGATTATTATAAAAATTTACTAGGGAGGAAAGAAATAGAAAGGGTGAGGGATTTTAATAGTATAATCAGAAATGGGAACAGGCTATCAGAAGCTCAACAACTAGAAATAATGCAATTTTTTTTGGAAAGAGAAGTGAAGCCGACTATGTTTCAGATTGATAATAATAAGAGTCCTGGTCCTGATTGATTTGGGAGTGGATTTTACAAAGCAGCATGGTGTCACACCTCCTTTTTCCGTACCCGCGAGGGGACAAGGAGTTTTTTCCAATTAAAGGACAATCGAAACGGGATTTATTTATTTATTTATTTCAGAGTCGCCACTTGGGAGATTTAGGGTGTCCCAAGTCACCAATTTTAATCCCGAATCGAGGAAAAGAATGACTCCATATTACAGTCTGCGCGCCAGAAATCCGGATAAGGAATTCTGTTAACCTGGGAGAAGGTGTTAGGCATTCCCGAGTTCT